ATTTTTCCTTCGTCAGACACAGATCATGTCCCTAGATGTGGGGGGTTTTAAAAACTAGTTTGTTATTAGACATTAAACATGGAGTGTGAAAGCTTGGACCCCCTTAGGATGTGACCTGATGTGTTGATACATCACTGAGTCAGCCTATTCTGCCAATCAGGTTTTACTGGTTCAAGCTCACAAGCAGAGCCACACCCAACTGCAGAATGATAGAGACACCAAGATCATCCCTGGGAAGGCTCATTTTAAGGGACTTGACACAGGTATCCAGGTGCCCACTTCCCTTGGCGTGCAAACCCAAAGTTACATAAAATTTGTTTCCTCCCTCAATGTGGAGGAAGGTATGCACAACACCCCTCCCTCCACTTAGAAATTATGTACCCAGTTAATGAAAAGAAATAAGTTTAACTACAAAAGGTGTATTTCAAGTGATTAAAAAGGTAGCAGAGTACTAAGAAAATGAACAAAGCATGCAAACCAAGCTTGATTCACTAAAGAAATTTGTTACAAATAATAATTATTCACCATATATATTGTTTTAGGTAGACTCCTTCACAGGTCAAGTATCTTGCTAGCCTGAGTCCAGCAGTTCTTTCCCCAGCCTCTCAGTTACTGTCCTCATTTCAGGTGTTTTCAAGCATCTCTTCGGGTGGGGAGGTGGAGTAGAAGCAAACTGAAGATCTTGATCATTTTCCTGCGCCCTTGTCCCCAACCTAATATAGGATTTCCATAAGGTGGAAATCCTCCGTTTGATTCTCCCACCTCCCAGTGGAAAAGATCAGCAGTCCAAACATGGTGGTTAGTATGTCACCTGACTGTAGCATCATAGCGTCCATAAAGCAGTGGCAATTTGGAGCATAGGTAGGCCAAGCCTTGTAATAGTCATCTGTCCTTGCTGATGCACCATCAGTCCTCTCTGGCTTTTCCATTTTTGTACCTAAAGCATTAGCTGTGGGTATCACCCAATACAGCATAATCAAAATACAGGTACATAGTCAATATTCCTAACTTCAGATTTAAAAAATGACATACAAATAAGATAGATAATTGTTCAATGAATCATAACCTTTCCAATGATACCTTACATGAGTTATCTTGCCTAAAGTACATTCATTATGTCATTTATATCACAACTCTATTTTAATATAGAATATAGAGTGCAACGTCACAGGGAGCAGGAGAAATTCTATGATGGTGTAAGCACTCCCGCCAGATGCTACAGAACTTGGGAGATGTCCATAGCAACATAAATTAAAGCCTTCCAGAAAGTAAGGGGAAAACACAGTTCAAGTCACACCTAAAGCAGAAAGCTGGCTTGAGAGGGTTTGTCTTGATTTGTTGGGGTGCTGGTAGAAAAATAATTTGAGTATTCCCAACACCATAATGCAGATAAACAATGACCTCTTGCAGAAATGTCTATTGCAATGGGATGCATAGATCCCTGGGTGTCCCAGCAACCCAGGAGTTAATGCAGCAACTACCAGCCAGCATGACTGGCAAACTTGCTGACACTACAAGTATAAAAAGTGGTGAAAAGCAGAGGGGCAGCTGGCAAAGGAGCATGCAGGCTGGAGAAGGAAATTCCTGACAACAAGCTGGTGAGAAGCTACCCAGAGACAACAATCAAGTGAAAGTGATTGAAATACAGGCTGAAGCCACCCATGGTATCAAGGGAGGGAAGGACCCCAAGGCATAGCAGTAGGAATTGTTGAGGATCGAGTCTTCCTGTCTGGATTAAGGGCCCTGAGCTGGAACACAATAGAGGGGGTAGGCCTGGGCTCCCCTACATACTTCTTATCAGAAGATATGAGCCAAGGGGTTTCCAGATCCCTTGAGATCAAGAACCACCCTACTCCTACAAGTATAGAAGAGGGACTCGAACAAACACTCCTCATTGCCCAAATTAGGACTACCATAGAGTAAAGCAAGAAAGGGCTGACCGACCACTTCTAATGCTGCACCAAAAGGGACACTATTGCATTAGTACATCAGCTCCCAGTTGTGTAGAACAGGCTCCAGGTATGGAGTTTTGTTTAACAAATCTTCAAAGAAATCATAAAGATATATACAGGCAGTCCCCGGGTTACGTACAAGATAGGGACTGTAGGTTTGTTCTTAAGTTGAATTTGTATGTAAGTTGGAACTGGTACATATTGTAGGGGAAACTCTAGCCAAACATTTCTCCAGAGGTCAGTTTTATTCTCCCACACCTCACTTCCCTCAGTCCTTTATTCTCAAGCTGAGGTGTCTGCTGAGAAAAGCCGCTCTGCATCTCCCTGGTCTGCTGGGGAGGGGCGCTAGCTTCGCGTCTCCCTGGTCTGCTGGGGGGAAGCAGCTAGTGCAGGGTTGCCTCACCCCGTTTGTAAGTAGGGATCCGATGTAAGTCGGATCCATGTAACCCGGGGACTGCCTGTATTGTTCTGTTCTAAACAAAAACAAAAAAAAGGTGTTCATACACACACACAACCACATTTATATTAGACCTAAACCTATATCCTTCTCCCCATGCTTATCCACTGACATGCTTCACCTACAACCGGTATAAAAATCTCTCCCCATTCACTACAAGACTTGCATATTCCCAGCTCAAGGCACTACAGTTTAATAAGAACAAACAAATGGCCATACTGGGTCCATGTAGCCCAGTATTCTGTCATCCAACAGTGGCCAATGACAGATACCAGAGGGAGTGAACAGAACAGGTAATCATCAAGTGATCCTTCTCCTGTCATCCCTTTCCAGCCCCTGAAACAGAGGCTAGGGACACCATTCCTACCTAATCTGGCTAATAAGCAGGGCTCGACAAATAATACAATCTACTCGCCAGTGGCAAGTAGATTGCAACCCGGAAGAGCTGGGTTCGGGCGATCTGTGCATGAGCAGAATGATCCGCGCATGCGCAGATTGCCAGACAGTGTGGCTGGCGAGCGGGACTCGCCGCGGTTCGGGGAGCCCTGCTAATAAGTATTGATGGACCTAACTTCCATGAATGTATCTAGTTCGTTTTTGAATCCTATTATAGTCTTGGACTTCACAACATCCTCTAGCAAGGACTTCCCCAGGTTGACTGTGTAAAGAAAAGCTTCCTTTTGTTTGTTTTAAACGTGCTCCCTGTTAATTTCACTTGGTGACCCCTCAGTCTTTTGTTATGGGAACAAATTAACTTTTCCTTTTTCTCCATACCTGTTGTGATTTTATAGACCTCCATCATATCCCCCTTAGTTTCCTCTTTTCCAAGCTGAAAAGTTCCAGTCCTTTTAATCTCTCTTCATATGGCACCCATTCCAACCCCCTAATCATTTGTGTTGCTCTTTTCTTACATTTAAGGGAGTAGCTCCTGAAGAGGGGTACCTGAGTAGAGAATTCCAGAATATAGAATCATATTATACTAGGACTGGAAGGGACCTCGAGAGGTCATTGAGTCCAGTTCCCTGCCCTCATGGCAGGACCAAATAGGGTATCAGAGTACATTGTAAAAGCCAGCAAGGATTCCTACATAAACCCTTCTATCACCTCATTATTCCCGAGTGAGCCTCCCTCCGTTGATACCTTCTCAAATCTTAACAAGCCTGCACCCCATCAAACGATTCCCCATCCACGATGATTCCAACATCCCATGACACTCACCCTCTATAGGCATGGGAGACTTATGTACCTAAGTCTTCTTGCCATTCAAAGTAACCCTCCCTCCCTCTAACAGTCCATTACAGGATCAAAAATCTACATTCCTTGCTCCTTTCTTTCTATATAAAGGGTCAACAAAATCTAAAACATCACTCCACAAATGAAAAGTATCTTTTTTACTGTCCCTCCTTTTCTCTGCTCTAAACAAAAACAACTCATAGTACAGGCCCTGATTAAACTGCTCATACATAGATATGGAGGATGTATGATCTGACCATTCTAACTGCAGGCATTTTGAAGGGAACAGGAAGTATTGTAAAGGATTCATGTAAAAATGCATTCATCAATTTTGTATGTTGGCTTGCAATATCATACTGTATGCAATTGTAGGGCCAAGTGGTCCCAAAAATTCTACTATGGTTTTCTATGGACTTCTGCAAAATGCTTCTGTCATGTTACAAGCTTTCAAAGTGACAATTCTCCCTCCCCCGACAAAGTAATGTCTGAAAGACTTTAGGTCTATGGAATCATACATAATGTCACATCATTTTAAAAAAAATGTACTTCTGCTGTATCCTTTGGATGCTTATTCTATTACGGTAGGTCTACACTTGCCCCCTAGTTCGGACTAGGGAGGCAAATCAAGCATACCGAAGCTGCTAATGAAGCACGGGATTTAAATATCCCATGCTTGATTAGCATATTTGCGGCCAGTCGCCATTTTAAAATGCCGGTAGCCCGAATTAACTCGCCACATGTAGACGCGGTAGTCCGATCCAAAGTCCTTCCCTCGAATTAACTGTTACTCCTCAAGCAATACATATTACAGCACATTTTTCCCTAAAGAGCATAAGGATATTCCAGATGTGTTCTTAGTTTAAAAAACAAAGATTCAATGATTAGTGACACAAATTGACTTTCATCAGACAGCCTCAGCAACTCCATTTCACCATCTGTAGAACAGAAATACTGATTACTCACTGCTGAAATTCACTGATGAGAAGTAGGGATGTAAGCAACTAATCAAGTAGTAGACTACTCAAACCCTCTATCAGAAGCAGCAAGGAGGGAGAGGGGAGAGCAGGCACTGGTGCAGGAGGGAGCCAACTTAAAAGCCAGTTGCCCACCCCCATGGAGACGGTGCTGGAGAGGGCGGGGGGAGAGGGAGGCGCGAGGCAAGGGCGCAGCAGGGGACCGGGCATGAGCCGGGAATCAGCTGATTCCCAGCTCACTCACGCCCAGACCCCTGCTGCGACTCTGCCTTTTAAATGCAGTTAGAGCCTGGCAGCTCTTACTATATTTTAGAAAGGCAGAGCCACATTGGGATTAGCTCCCAGGGCATCACAAGCAGGGATTGTTTTGCTAACCCTGCTATGACTGCAGTTTAAAGGTAGCTCCTACTACATTTAAACCGCAGAGCCACAGTGAGGGCTTTATCAACTAATGGAATTTCCATCAACTACTCTGTCATAATCAGGAGTGCTGACCAACACCTGGTGACTAAGGAGCCTATGTTCTTAGCCAAGGTGTCAGACGTGCAATTGCGTGTAGGAATTTCCAACTGGAAGAAAGGGGCTTTTCTCTCTCTTCTTTGAGATCAGAGCAGTTTCTCCCAGGTATTGAGAGAGATGGGAGATGCTTCTCTCTCCAGGAACAGACTTCTTAAAATGTGTAAGTAGGGAAAAGTTGAGATACTCCATCAGGGTTTATTGTTTTCCTTGTTTTGGGGGGTTGGAAATAATGTCTGAGCTTGCTAACAGGTTTTTTTTTTTTTCAATCTTTTGTAACTAAGCCTTACAGCCAAGGGTTCTCCCTGAGTATCTATATCAAATGGTGGTTCTTTCCATCTAGCCAGTCTACTATGCTTGCAGCTACAGTTTTGTTTTGGTAATAAAAGATTGGTATTTTCCAATTAACTGGTATTGATATTAGGATTTTGTGGGGGAAAGTTTTTGTATCAGAGACTGTAGAGGCAAGGTTTTGGAGTGCTCTTACAGGTCTCCAACTTCTGCATTCATCATGCCAGAGTGGGGAACAGCCTTGACATACTCAATTAGCTGAGTATCCACATTAGGGATGCAATAGTATAGTCAATTAACTGATAAGCAAAAGCTAATAAGGTTATATGCTTAATACTACAGACTACACACATTTCCCCCCCAGTAAACTGTTTAGTGGTCTGGCCAGGAGTCCAGCTCAGCTCCAGCTTGTGCCATATCCGGGACCTACCCCTGCTGTCGCCCTGCATTTAAAGTGTATTAGGAAGCAGGTGAGCTGGCAGCCCGGCTCATGCTGGATCCTGGAGCTCAGATCCCCTACAGTGGACAGGGGCTGCTGACACCCTGTGCTGCTGCTTCTGAATCTAAGGCCACAGCACAGGGCAACAGGCAACTGGTCAGTGAGGGCAGCTAGTTTTAAAACTGGCTCCCTTCACAGACGAGCTCCCGCCTGGCACCCCACGCTGCTGCCTCTGACACAGAAGCAGCAGCGTAGTGCGAAAGGGGGCTCCTCGGCAATGAGGCCAGAGTACACTAGCTGCTTGCCCTGCCCCTGGGCACTATAGAGTATTCGAGTAACCTATAAGAATGTATGAGGTTAAATGATTATTCAATTAATCACTATTTAACCTCCCTAATCTGCATTTTAGCATCCTTAAATGAGAAATACTATATACCAAGAGTTCCCAGTATGGGCCAACCTGACACACACAGTTCCCTAAAGCTCTTTTCCACTGTGAGACTACTTAACATAAGTGTCCTTTTCCTCTCCTGAAATCTCCCCTTTACTACTCTGGACCTTTTTGAAGCCTGTCCTATCATATTCTTCCCTATGTTCCTCCCTCGTGGCCTCCATTTAATTTTGTACTTCCATAAATTTTGAGGTAGCTCTGATGCTGGCAGACCAGGTGCCCACTTACGCCAAGCCCCTAACCCTCAATGAGACACTAACAAATGCATGAGCAGCCAGTAATGTAGGCAGGAGAAGGCATAGCCCTCCCAGAACTTCCCACACACCCAACTGCGGAGAGCCGGGGCTGCTGCCTGGGAGGGAAGGGGCCACAGCCCAGCAGCCCGGCTTCCCCTGGCCGCCAGGAAGGGATGGGGCAGGGATTCAGCACGGCAGCCCCAGTGGCTTTCCACCTGGCCAGGAAAGATCAGGCTGGGGGTGGGCGGGCTATACTCCAGGGGCAGGGCTTTGGGCAGGGCAGAGCTGGTGCTCACCTTCCCCAGCTCGGCTTTCACCAGCCGCCCATGAAAAAAATGCATAGCTGGAAACCACTCAGGCTCACCTGTGGGTTAGCATGGTTAAAGCTGATAAGCTGAGAATATGTTTAGCACTCAGCCTTAATGGAATGCTTTTAGGATGCAGCACTGCATTTAACCTCACTTGTAACAGCCGGAGCCCATGGTATAAAGTTATATTGAGTGCAAACCTCTGTAATTGTGCAACTCAAAAAGGAAAGAAGCATTAATTAGCGTAGAGTACTGGTCATGCTTCCCCAAAGTACCACTGAAAACAAATGAAGCAGTGTGAAACAAAGGACAAAGTCTATGTTGATTGCTCCCCCCACACCCAAAAGAGGGGACTTGCCTGTGAACTCATCTCAGTCTGAACTCTGGGGGAAGGGAATAAAAATGCAGGACAAGTAGTAACTACGCTGCTTGGATTCAGAAGGCACTATTTTTAAGCATCAACAAGCTGTTTAGTTTGGGTTAACTCTAAAGGATATATAGTACTTGATCTAGCTGCTACATTGCCTTATGGAACCTAAGACTGTATCTCATTGTGAATGTATGTTCAAATGCTCTAACCTGGTAAGTAACTTTTTTTTTTTTTTTAAAGAGGACTGGCTACATACATTGTCTTTAGGCAAAGATCTAAGGTAGAACTGACCTGGGGCGAGTAACCTGAATATTATTCTAATTTTTGTGTAAGACAAAAAGACAGATTTTTTCATGGGGACTGTGTGACTCAATGTTTAGACTATTGCAGTGACTGAAGCATTGATACTTAATATATGCTTGGTGAACTGTAAACAGAGAGGAAATAACAAGTTGGGCGTTTGTGCCCTGGTTTATAACAGTCTGCCCAAAGGTTGGCACTCATGGTTAGGAGCCACTTTAGACAGCCTAGAACTCCCATGATCATGGTAGGATTCATGTGCCATATCTCAGCTGGATTTATAGCTCATAAATCAGTGCTGTTAGTCATGGTTGATACAAGAGACCTTGAACAATTATGCAAGGAGAAGTGAATAACCTTTAAAAGGAAGCCCCCATATCAGGAATTAAGAGTTTTGCTCATAAGCTAACCAGGCATCCCAAGCACCTTTCTGCCATGGGTACCACTGCAATGGAACTGATATGACTGCAACACCTGCAAGCCTGAGAAGAACAAGGGACTGACGGCAGAACTGTGTTCCAAGGAGATCATAGAAACAAGGGAGGCAGGTGAGAGCTCACCAAAAGAGCACAGCTAGCAAAAAGTTTGAGGGAAAAAAATACACCAAAGATACATGGAGTTAAAAGCTGAGTCGAGGGCATGCCAGAAAAGAGATGGAAGCTCAGGCACTGAAGCTCAAAAGGACTGGAACAGCAAAAGGAGTATCCCTACCTGGTCCATGCTCTGACCCCACAAATAAAGGGGAGTGGGAGAAGTCTGCCTAATTTATAAAGAAACTGAACTACTCGTTAGCTCCAATTGAAGCAGGAAAACAGTGAACATTGATTCCTTATCATGGCATTAGACCTTTACTATCTGCACTTTCCAGAAGAGGGCAGATCAACACAGAATACACATTTGGAGAGAACTAGGGACTGGAATGTTAGAATCATCCTGCAAGTAGTAACCAAGGCAGAATGTGACATATCTTGCAGACATACTTCTGGGCCAGGCCGGAGCTGCATCCAGACACTCAGAGTATGCTAGGCCATTTGTGAGCAGCCCAGATTGGGAGCTACAACTGCAAAGCATCATGGAGGCACCAGATTGCGAGGCAAGCAGACACAACTTTTCTAGCCTGGACTAAACACAGAATGTGACAGTAGCTTTTACCGGGGGGGGGTTCTTAAAAAAAAAAAAAGCCACACACACACACAAAATAAAGTTAAAAGCTATGGTATCCGATAGAGCACTTGGGATGTGCAACACCTTTACTGAAAAGGCAGCTTATTCTACTAGTGGTGCACTGACTTATCTATAGCCATTTAACTGATAGTTTGCATTTGCACTAAATCAAGAAGCTGCATCTGCATATATCCATCCATACATCATGTGGATGTTTGTTCAAATTATTTTAATTTGGACATGTAGCCAGACGCAGCCTTCCTCCCCCATTTGCTCTGTCAGCTGTAGTTTGAACAAGTTTCCCCATTATGCTTAGTAGCTGTGGAAGTCTCCATAATGTTAGATGCTTGTTAAAATCACATTGCCTGAATAAAACCAATTGTATTCATGCTTATGAATACGTAACCTGTCAATGTATAAAGTGCATGAGGAAGTGTGACGAAGTTTCCTTTTATGGCCATAAGGAAAGATCCTGCAAAGTGCATAAGTTGATGTGACAGGCAGCAGATGGGACTTCTTCTCGGAAAACATGTAACAGCATGCCAATCTCAGAACCAAAAGCAGCATAGCCCTCCTGTGGGTCTGAAGGGACTCCAGTTACCTCCTGGCCAATCTCCGGGAAGCTGTCGCCTGGCCTGCTTCAGCCACCTGTGAAATCAAAACTAACTCCCGCCATGCTTGCAGCCCGCCACTAAACTGCCAGCATGAATGTGATGTTTATGTGAGTATTGCTATACCATTAAGAATCTGTACAGCTAGCTAAGATTAAACAAGCCTCAGTGCTGCTTCAGTTCACCCTTTGCCTGGGCTTATGCCTTGGCTGATTCTAAGGCAACAGGACAGATAAGTATAATCTTTCTAAAGAGGTGATGGGTGGCTTGCTATACTTTACAACCATTACAAATTGTGTCCTGTAATCCTGTCCGATCTCATAAGCTAAGCAGGATCAAGCCAGATCAGTATGTGCAGAGAAGCATTCCACAGATCACAGGCTCAGCCAATAATGCTAATGATTCAGTAGGTAATGCTTTCCATTCCAAGGATTTGTCTGTACTATAGTCTTCTGTTACATCAAACTTATGCCCAAGTTAACAGACACAATACTGGACACAAGCAATGGGTCAGTGCAGTATTCAGTACCAGGTCAGCTAGTTATGTGTAAACCCTGAATAGCTAACAATGCTAAACAACTCTGTGAAGTAAAACAAGCCCTGATGATCTTACAGTTGGGGTCCCAGTAAGATTGTAATTCAAACAATAATTTTACCTACCTAAATTACTATTTGAGACACAGTGGTCTTCACTTTTTGTCAGAGATCGTGGCCAAACATTCCTGTGAACTATTTAATAGTTGCTACTTTCCATCCCATTAGGCTGCACACACACTAAGCTTCTTTCCAAAAAGAAAGACCAGAGGCAGTAATACAGAACCCTAACACAGATGAGGTCCAAGGAACTACAATGCATTTGTCTGTAACAAACCAGTTCAAAACCAATGGTTAAAATACCAGTGGTACCTCATCAATATTCCACGCACCATTGCTACCAGTTGTGCTATACTGGGATAACAATGGTGAGGAAAAAATCGTTTAGCACTGATAAGGCTAATGTGCATCTCTCATATCTTCACTGGGAAGTTAGGAGGTTTAATTCATTTCATGTTTTAAAAGTATTGGGTACTGTGGACTAAGGTACATATTTGTATATAAAAATATACAGAAGTACACATTTCCATTATTTTTCACAAATGATTGTGCAGATGAAAAGTCAATTTATACAAACTTTAGTTAACTATGGTTTACCAGGAATCTCAGCAACTGTTGTAGATGAAAAAAAAATCATGATTTAAATAATCTCTTCTATATAAGTTCCTCTGCATTATTGTTTAAAAGAATCAAAAACTCAGAATGGAAAGCACTTTATTATTCTCTTGAACATTTAATAATGCTTTGACTGTATAGCCAGTGGTGGGGAACCTTGTTTTTGGGTCAGAGGCCACTAACCCACAGAAAAATTAGTCAGGGGCCACATACAAGTGGCAAGCAACAACAACAACAAAAAACCTCATTGATGTGGCCTCTGACTGAGAAGGAGAAAGACACTCCTCACATTCTCCTCCCACACCAGAGTCTAGGGAAGCCCAGCCTAGTAGATTTTGGGTGTTCCATTCCCGCAGTGAGGCATTAGAGGAGCTGGAGCACCAACATGGGCTCCTCAATACTGGGGAGGCCCTGAGCCTCAGGAGCTGGATCCAAGCAAGCCAGAGACCGGATGCAGTCCTCAGGCCTGAGGTTCCCTACCCCCAGTATAAGCAATGCTGTTGCCTGTTTAGACAAACAAGGTCCTTTTGTGAATCCTGCTTTGAAATGCCTTAATGTTTTATTTTACCTAATGGACAAACATTAACAGAAGCTATTTATTTAGTTTTAATGTTTGCTTACCATGTAAATGCCAATTCTACAAACAGCAAATGAGATCTATCACCAAGAACTTTACTTAGTGGGAAACCAAATGTTTAAATTTGAGAAACAAGAAAATCTGCCCTTTTTAAAAATAAATTAGGTTGATATAGTCTGCAAGAGAGATTTTTAATCACAGAATGTCTAAGCCCTTTTTGACTTTATGATATGCGAAGGAGGCATAAGAAGGTTTTTACCTGGGTACTGGGGCCCTTCCTCCTCCCAATTTTTTTTAATAGTTCTTACATTTCTATTCTTATCTTTTCTGAATTTCAGTTTCAAACTCTGTAATACATTAAAGGATTAGTATTATGAATTTGTAAAAAGGAAGCTCTTTCTTCACTACTATTTCATGGGCATTTGTGCAAAAGTTGATCTTAAAGCCCTTCAAAGAGCTCTGTTTCCAATCTATTGCAATGCCATACCTCTGTTAGGTCTATGGTCATTTATAGTAGACTGGACATACACAGCCTAAATATAAACTAATAATAAACCACACAAAAAATGCCTGTTCAAGCCACCTTTATACATCACATAAAGAAGTCCAAAAATAACAACCTATGTCTCCTCTTTAAGACCCCTGCCCTTCAAATTTGATCATTTGTATATGTAATTAAATATACTGACCCACGCATCAATGCATTTGAAATTCATCTCACACACACACCCCTTTTAAATGAATTTTTCAAAGAGATCTTTTTCATACTCTGGGAAACAATAGTTACAAGCTACCAGTTTTACACTTTGGGTGATTCCAATGCACAGGAGTTCACAGTGTTAGTTCATATGCTAAAAATATTGCAGTTTAAACAAGTGAACAAAATGGCTCCCATTACATTAATGTGGCTGACATTGTGATTTGGGACTTGTAATGAATGAACATTTCTCTGAGAATGTCTGGAAGCCACAGACCTCAAAACATCATCAATGGAGCAATTATGGTTCCATCTGCTTTGCCAATGATGGCATTATGGAATCCCCATATAGGATTTGCAGAAGCAGCCAGTAAATTATGTAGTGCCATCAACTCTCTGTCATCCCTAATTTTTTCAAGGCAATAGGGAAAATGAACAGCAGGAGCACAGGGAAAAAGAATCACAATGGTTACATACCACAACACAATCAGAATTTAGTATAGGTTGAACCTCTCTAATCTGGCATTCTCTGGTCCAGTAATATCTGTAGACCGGCCTGAGTTTAGTTAGCCAGATATCCACTTCTCCTGGGTGTGGTCAAGTTTCCCACAGTCCCATGAAGTTTGTTTACAGGCACCAGCCCTGGCTCTCAGTGTTATGTACTGTTATTTAGGAGTAAATTAGAGGTAATTGTCTCCTAAGTACCCAGTAAGCAGTGGGAATGTTGGTAATGCTGATAGACAATACTGACCTCCCATGGTCTGGCAAATTCTCTGGTTCAGCACCACTCAGGTTCCAAGGGGGCCAGACTAGAAACGTTCAACCTGTACTTCCTGCTTTCCAAATACTTTTAGAGTTAGGAGCAAATTATACACACACAATTTACAATTCAATGGGCAAATGATTTTTCACAAAAATTAAAATCTTGGGACAGCAACTCTTAAAAAAATGTAGTAACTTCTTTATTGAAATAGGTTTAACAACATTTCCCTCATAAAATCCAAGTCAAATTGAGCAGGTCAGAGAATCTGAAAGTGAAAGCTAAACTATTTGCCCAACCTGAAATAGAGAGATAACTAGTGAAAAGTAAACTTGATATTTTTTAAACCTCTCTCACTTCTGGTAACCTAAGATGTTATTAGTAATAGGAAAATGTTGTTACTTACAACTTATGATTTAAGTTGACAGGCTCTCTATGTTTTTGTATAATTGTTTACAATTTAGAGAGTATAGCTAACCTTGGATGTCTGTTCATATTAAAAATGATCTTTTTTAATCTGATTTCACCATACTAAGTTTAAATTTTTGTAATGAGAAATTTTCCTCTTCACTACTCAGACTCAATACTGATGGTGGATATACTGTGATACAAAAACAGAAGAAAGCATTTTGTTACAAACTGAATTGACATTGGAGGGGCAGTTTAAACATTTCAATATAAACATTAACCAAGATTATATTTTTATTCTAATATGCCATGTTACTGTAAAATTTTAGTCTGTGTACATAGCATTAATGAATGTGAAGCATGTGCTTAAATTGTTCTCAAATTGTTCTGTAACAGGGTGGATAGTTTCAGAATGCAACTGCAACAGGACAAGTAAGAGCATGAATGTGGCTTGTGTAAACTAGCTTACACATGCCCACTGAAGGGGAAAGAAATACAAAACTATGTTGCCATTGCTGGAATTTTGAAACTGACAAGGTATTACTGGCCCAGTGATACGATAAGCTAATGCTCCCATTATCAAGTCTAACAGGCAGACTTTTTTCCATGTCACAGTGAAAGATTAAGTTAGCATCCTCTTGAAAGATGGGGGTGAATGATGTAAACTAACAAATTGCCATCTGCAGTACAGAAGACTCTAAAAGTCACAAAACACCAGAGTTATGAAACTACTGGTCAGACACCCTTTGAACCTGGGTTCAATCAGGCAGTAGTAGAGACAAAGAAGAAAGAACAGCAGCAAATACTGTACAGCCTGGGGCTTTAGCACCGGGGTTCATGATTTCAACAAGGCCCTGATTCTGGACTGAAACTGGGAGCAGAGCTGTGGAGCTAAAGCCCAGAGCTTCAGTGCCTACCACAAGGCCGAAGCCCTAAATGCAGAATTCCCCTCAGTCTAAAGCCCCAATCCCTACCTGAAAGTGGGAGTAGAGTTTCCCCCTCCGCTCCCCCCGAACTTCCTGCCAGAAGTCTTGATACCCATACCCAGAGATCTGACACACAAACACACCCTCTGTAGCTGTAGCCCCACCGCCCCGATGGTTGAAATCCATAGTTTGGTCAGAATTACAGAAAACCTCCACTGCCTGTTTTTAAACGTAAAATGTTGTTAGCATGCGCATCAAATTTGAGGTTACAGTTCCAAGAAGATTTTTCTTTCCATGCAAGGACATACATAAGCATATTCCACTAATATTTCCCATTTAATGCCTACAGTTCTGTGTGTAATTCTCCTTTAATGAGAAATAAAGTACTAGGGTCATGTTTTCCTTTGCTGGTAGTGCACTCACATCTTCATAGGGCTTTTTAAATCCATTTAGAGATGCTCCTCTACTGAAATACAATAGTTAAAAAAACTAAAATTTTGAAATATGGCAAAATGGGATTAATGGAACACCAACAATATCCAGACAGGAACTAGGGAAGTTCTTTGAACTATAATCATTATAAAAGAGTACTGAGTAGATGAATCAGAGAACAACAATATTCTTCTAGCTGTTTTTCCTCACTAAAAAACATTTTGCATGAGATTTTTAGCTGGTTCAACCACAAGACAACTTAACACTAAATTTAAGTTGCAGGACTACCACAAAAAGTTGGAGACACATCACCAGTCATTCTGCAGAATACACAGGCCGTCAGTTCAATTATGCCAAGGATAACTTGGCAGGCCAAAAAGGAATTTGAAGAGCAACTAGCAAGAGACACAAACTATAGGTTGGACTTCCCTGGTCCAGCAAGCACCCTCGGGACCTGACTGGTCCTACATGAGGGATTTTGCCAGACAAGGGGAGGTTATTTCTGCCTCCATCCCATCCCAGCACTGGTCCTGCCAGGCATCCTTGCTGCCACCCCATGGGCTCCTGAGCCCTTCCAGGCAGCCCCACAGGGATCCCAAGCATCAGCCCTCCACCAGGACTCTCTAGTCTTGCAACGTCCATGGTTCTAGCAGACCACTGTTGACAAGCTACGGAATCCTGATTTAGAAAGGTTCAACTGTAATAGAAAAGAAGTTTAAGTCTGTCAGAAAAGGAAGCCTGCCAAACAACCAACAGGCCACTGAATGATCAAGGTGATAAAAGGAACACTCAAAGACGGCAAGGCTGTTGGAGAAACTAAATTAATTCTCCACATCGGTCTTCACTGTGGAGAGAATCTTCCTCAATCCAGACCTCAGCTATTCTTTTTAGATGACAAGTCTGAGGAACGGTCTCAGACTGAGGTGTCAATTGAAGAGGTTTTGGAATAAATTAAATGGTTAAGTCACCAAGATCAATGTATTAGACAGTAATCATCCAAGAGTTGTGAACTTGAATATGAAATAGGTGACTTACTAGCTCTGCTATCACTTAAACGTGCTTACATACCAGATGACTAGAGAGTAACTAATGTGATGCCAATTTTTCCCCCCTGTGCTTACATACCAGATGACTAGAGAATAACTAATGTGATGCCAATTTTTCCCCCCCCCCAGAGTCTAAGTGCAGCCCTGACGGTTACAGAGCAATCAGCCTAACTTCCTAGGCAAACTGATTGAAATTATAGTGAAGAACAGAATACAGCCACATTTGTTGGGGGACAAATTTACACAGCTTTTGTAAAAGGAAGTCATTTCTCATTGATCTATGAGAATTATTGGAGAGGGTAAACAAACCCATGGACAAGAATGATCTAATGGATATAGTGTACTTGGACTTCAGAAAACCTCTACCCAGGTCCCTCCCAGAAGGCTCTTATCCCATGATTGCATAGTTTGCTTAAGAGGGATTGTTCTCTACTGGCTTAGTAGCTATTTAAAACCAGACTCTCAAACAGTAGGCAGTAGCCCAAAGATGCCTCCCCACACCCCACTTTCCAAGGTGGTCTGCTGGCAGGGGCAGAGATTGAGGCTGCATGTAGGAGTATCCTCCCTCCCCTACAAACTACATCTTTCCACTCCCTTCCCAAACCTGGCCCTTCAGCTCAGCTCCAGGGCACAAAACCTATCTACTGCTTTGCCTGACAGATCAGCAAGGATAGCATGTATAGAGGAGAATGTGGGGGGGCCCACTGGGACTGAGGTTCAGTAGATGTGCTTTGGGAAGGTTTTCCTCTTCCCTTCCTCAGAATCAGGATTGCAAGGAGTAGTAGGGAGAGGGCTGTGTACTTATCCGTAGTGGGGATTATTGAGGGCATCCTCCCCTTCATCTCATCTGACAGCAGTGGAGTTTGGGTGTTTTGCAGTGAAGGGTTGGAAGACTACCCTAGGACACTGACCTGTCCGCTCCCGTCTCAGCTATCCATGCTAGGAGCAGCAAAACTGTTAACAGTGAAGTAAATATGTTTAATATGGCAAAGATGTTATGCCACTAAGACAAATTTAATAAAAATACTTTAGCCCTTGATGCTACAAACACTTGCACGCAAACTTAAAGTCAATGGGACTATCCATATGATCAAGATGATGTGATCTGCTTAACTATTTTTGTTTTTTTAACACACACACACACACACACACACACACACACACACACACACACACACACACCCACCCACACCCACGGGCAGGATAACAGTTTTACAAAACCCAAATAAGGTTCACTAACAGCATTTGAATTTATTTTATTATAAATTTTAATCAATGGTTATAATAGGACAGTTTCCAAATTAGTGTCACATACTGATTTAAATCTGAATGAAGGTAAACTTTTAAATCTGATCAAGAGAAGTTTGAGGGGGAAACATAACAGTCTGCAATTACACAAAAGGCTGTTACGCAAAAAGTTGTTATATAAAGAGGAGAGTGCTAAATTGTTTCCACTGCCATTGATACAAATAATAGTCTTAAATTGCAGCAAGGGAGATTTAGGTTAGACATTAGGGAAAACTTCCTATCAGAGTAACTTAGGGAGATTGTGGAATCTCCATTTTTAAGAACAGGTTAGACAAACACCTACCAGAGATGGTCAAGATAATACTTAGTTCTGCCATAATGCAGAGGACTGAAATAGATTACATACTGTGCTCCCTTCCAATCTACATTTGTATAATTTCCCTGAAAAATCATGTGTTAAATCACTTTGATGAAGTTGCTCCACTTGACAAAGTAGCTTTCACCATATGCGAATGCAGTAAAAGCATCAGACAGGTGTTTTTTGTTAAAAGGAAACCATTAAGTATGCAGTATAAGTCATGCATGTCATTAAGGAAGTTTCAATGAAAGGCTCCTTAGCAGTCTAAGCATTGCACTGTAAGCTATGAATGTGAGAGTCAAAGTGGTGCAGTTTTATGCTACAAGCTTTCCAGAACAGCTTAAAACTAAATGAGAAGTCTGGTCTGAATCCACACTTTTCACAAGGTGTGGCTTGTGCATAATTTCCTGCTTGAACCATAGAGCACTGAACATACATCAAACACCACAAACCTAAATTTGCATTAGACTTCTTTACTTACACCAGTGAAAGCTCCAGATGCAAGACAACAAGAAAGTATAGTAAGATCCACCAAAGGACTACCCACATACAGAAGTTTTACTGATGTAACAACCAATATAAAGCAGCATAACATAGGGTCTTACAGTAGTTTATTCCGAGATGGGAAGGGAAATAGCAATAAATAGCTCCACATTAGGAAATGTACAGGTGTAACTTGCTTAAAAATATGATGCTCCCAGCAAAAAAACCAGACCAGTTTGTTTGCTTAAAGGGGGGAGGGGGGGGGCACGAAGGCACGAAGGGGAGTGTGTAGATCAAGCCCAAAGATGTTAAATTAAACACCAGGCTCCCACCTTCTTAAGGAATGAAACAAACCTGAACTGGGAACAAAGTACAGGATACCTAATTCCTGAAAGGAAACTGTAGTAAGGAATCAATTAGTAACAGTGTTTGGTGCCATGGAGCAAGATCAGGTTCTAAGCCAGTAGTAGAACAGAAGTGCAGAAAGAGAAACTCAGGCCAGGGGTCAAAGCTAATTTCAAGTCTAATCCTAAGCAATGCTTGAGTATCCACAATTCCCTGCTGAAGTTGAAGGGTGTTGCAAACACTTAGACTTCTTGGGATCAGGCCATTTGAAGCCAAACTTGAGAGGCTCCAATCAAAAGTAGGGTCTATAATGTGTATGGCCTCCATTATAAGATCTTGGGTACAGCAACATTGTAGTTCAGTGGTTTGAGCATTGGCCTGCTAAACCCAGGGTTGTGAGCTCAATCCTTGAGAAGGCCATTTAAGGATCTTGGGCAAATGTCAGGGATGGAACTTGGTCCTGCCTGACTGCAGAGGACTGGACTTGATGACCTCTGAAGGTCCCTTCCAGCTCTATGAGATAGGTATATCTCCATATATTAAAATAACCAGCATTACCTTGAAATAACTTAGTATTTCAAAATAGCTGCCTGCTGTGTAGATGAAGACTCCAGCTGGAAGACTTCTTAACTCCTACAACCCTCACTGTATGAGGAGTAAGGGAAGTCAGAGCAAGAGTGCTCTATTTTGAAGTAAGCCCTGTGTAGACACTCCCAATTTTGAAATAAACTACTGAATTAACATAACTCAAAATAAACTCTGCAAATTGAGCTAAGCCCTGCTGTGTAGATGCACCCATGGGAAGAAAGCCTTCAAGAAGGCTGTTGATGGGTAAGAGGGAGCCTGCAGTAGCTTCCCCTATCTTATCCAATACTCCTTACCTCCACCCAGTATGCTTTCCCATTTTGCTGTCACCATTTCAGCCACTTACCTCTTCCTTTTCTCTGGCCACTCTATGAAAGTCACGCTGTGGTTAGCATCTAAAGTTGGATACAATATAAGCAACCAATGCCATTCCTGCATACCAAATAGCAATAGTCTCTATTCTTACACAGTGCAATGAGCCTCTGTCCTCCAGGCTGATGAAGTGAGATATGAAAATTCTCACCTAACTGATCACCCATGTGTTTTATTGGAGCAGATTGTGAATGTTTCCTGAACCATTGTTCCTTACCAAAGGCCATGCCTATGAACTACCATTCATAGGCTATTTCACAGAGAAGAAGCAGAACAGATAAAGCTAAGAAATAAGTTGTCAGTAAAACTATCTCAATGCTCAAGTTTTTTGGGAGGAAGAAAATGAACACCCAGTTTAAAAGGATACAGTGTATGCACCCAAAAGCAATATACTGTAACTGCCAGAGATAATTTTTTCTTATTTGAGTTTCATACAGATATGGGCACAAATTCAACATTTTTATTGCTTTTTTTTTTGTATAACTATTTGTTTGAAACTGTGAATACTGAATAGTACAACTATTCTCACTTGAAGAAAAGGGGGATGGCTTTTTTCCTTGCTGTGAAAATTTATGGTCACATCAGTAGTCCTCTGGTCCTAAAGAAAGGCAGCTTAGACACTGGCCCATGTCAACACTGGATCAGCCTTTAGCTTTGAGCTATGAACTAAGCTCTCCACACCTACAATAAACCCAACCTGATTGAAGTTGGGATGTGTAGTCCAAACCCTCACGTTTCATATAGTGTAGCAAATATACAAGGCACTGTACATCAGATGAATTGAGATGAAGTTGTATCTTGAAAAGGCTACATTCCAAAAAAATACTTGCTGTAACAGCGCCAAATGCCCTATACGGATACCAAATTAGTATCTGCATCCATATGCACAAAAATAAGCTGCAGATACCCAAATCCACAAATACAAAGTGGATTTCCAGGGCTGTACAAACGGAACAAAAACCTATGGGAACACTTCACATAATAGGCATACAAAAGACTTTTCTTAAAGAGAGAAAGCAAAGAAGTTTGTCATATAATAAGTGAAACATCATTCCAAACTAAATATCGTTCCAAGCATGCTGGGCGATTTGAAAGAAGGAATGAAGTCACGAATGGACAAAGGGAACAGCTAGGCCAGTGATCCTCAACAAGGAGTACGTGTATCAGTGGGGTTATGCAGAGCTCTTCTACTGGGTACATAAACTCATCCAGATATTTACCTAGTTTTAAAAGAGATTACATAACAATCACTAGTGAAGGCAGTACTAACTAAAATTTCATATAAACAATGATTTGTTTATATGGATTTATATACTAAACAATGAAATGTAAGTACAATATTTTATTCCAATTGATTTATTTTATAATTGTGTAGTAAAAATGAGAAGGACAGCATTTTTTCAGTATTCTGTGACTTTGTATTTTTCTGTTTAATTTTCTAAGTAAGCCATTTTTAATTGAGGTGAAATTTGGAAGTACACAAGACGTCTCATTCTTGAAAGGGGTACAGTAGTCTGGAAAGACTGAGTACCACTGAGATCAGGCTTGTTGCCTAACAATTAGAAAAAAGGCATAAGAGTACATTTATATTTCATTTCTTTAAAAGCATCTCCCCTCACAACTCTACCAGTTTGATAAATTTAATGAATGTTGAAATCTCACAATGATGCATGTTCCCCAGAATTTCCATCGCAGTCATGCAGGTTAACTTTCGCTGTGAACAGTACATGAGATATGTTCAGTTCTGAAACTAGCTAACTTGATAGAAGAAAACAAACTGCTCCAGGATCTTGAGAAGCCACAGTAAGGCTGCATTTGAGACACTGCAAGTTCACTGCCAGTATTCCATTAACTATTTTCTTAAAGAAAAAACTACCATTTCATTTATACAAAGGTCTCCCTCCCTGACTCAAGCCTAACATACAAGTTATAGGCATGACATTTTCAAATAAAGCATTTCTACTCCAAAAATAAATCCAAGATGCCTGTATTCAAACCCAACATTCAGGTAAGTGTTGAAAATATTGTGTCTCTTTCCCCATCTGCGGGAAGGGGGGGGAAGGGGGGAGGGGGAATCAGGTCAGCTGTTACAACTGCTTTCATTTCAATGGTAAAATCTTGCAACACAAAGAAGAGAGGTATCTTGCCCACTATCTAATAAGACAATCTCGTAGGTCATGTTTATTAAAAGGAGGATCCATGCTGAAGAGCAGGGATGTGATAGTGTAGTCAATTAACCAATAAGCACAAATTTTAATAGGTTAATGCTATAGATGACACACATTCCTCCCACCCCAGTACATTTTTAGCAAGCTAGCCAGTAGCCTGTCTCAGTCCTGGCTTGTGACAGGTCCCAGACCTACCCCCACTGCAGCTCTGCATTTGTTGCATTAGCCGGGCTGCCTGCCTACCTCCTCGGTTTCAGCCTCATGCCCAGTCCAGGAGCTCAGACACACCACGGACAGAGCCACCCTTGTATCAGAGGCAACAGCACGGAGTGATAGGCAGCCAGGCCACAAGGGAAGCTGATTTTTAAACTGGCTCCACTCATGGACCAGCTTCTGCCTGGAGCTTCTGATAAAGACACAGCAGCATGGAGTGGCAGGGGACTCCTCGGGAGTGGGGTGGATTAGGGATGTTTAAAAACCAGCTCCCCTCACGGACTGGCTGCCTGTCACCCCGCACTGCTGCCTCTGATACAACAGCCCCTTTCTGGGGAGGGGTCTGAGCTTCTGGACCCAGTGCTGCCTGCCTGGCTCCTAATACACTTTAAATACAGAGCCACAGCAAGGATAGGTCCCAGACCTGGTGCAAGCCGGAACTAGCCTGTTAATAAGTTTACTGTCGGTGCAGGGATGGGAGGAGGACAGGGGGGAAAAGAGGGAGAGGGGAGAGAAATGCATGTAATCTATAGAACTAACCTATAAGCTTTTTCTTATCGGTTAATGGATTACACTATTACAACCCTAGGCTGGATTGCACTGGCTGCCAACCCCACCCAATAAAAATTCATGAGGTTACTCGACTATTCAATTAACCAATATTTAACATCCCTACTGCAGAGGTCAATCATTCAGCATTCGATTTAGCGAGTCTAATAAGAACTCGCTAAGCTGACTGCTGAAGGTGCCCCAATCAACCATGGAACTTCTCACTACTGGAGTAAGGGAAGTCGATGGGAGAGTTTCTCCTGTCAAGCTTCCACCGTGGGGATGCTGGAGAAATTCAGCATAGGTAAGTCAACTCCAGCCATGTTATTTACGTAGCTGCAGTTTATCTTAAGCCGACCTTCTGGGTTAGCATAGACCTGCCCTAAAAATCACAATGGTCCATGTAAGAAAGAATGACATAAAAGATTAGAGCTTCAAATTCCAAGGGGGGAAAAAAAACCTACTTCATCACACAGGATACGAACAACCCTTTACTAGATGGGGATGGCAAGAAGGGATTTGCCTTTTATTTTAAGTGTTTACTACTGAACAAGAAGAAAAAACATAACACTTTGAGCTTAACTGGAAGTTTTCATTAGTCTCTCATTTTAAACGCAAAGAACTCAGGTAAAATGGAATCACGTTAAAATATTCAGTTCACTACATAGCATAGCCATTCAGTGTATTTGATAGTGGCCCACACATTGGAGTATGAAAACTTTTAACTACCACCCTGGCCTGAAGTACACACCTGTGATAAAATCTCTGCAGACAAATAAGGGCAACGTTCATTAAGAAACATTAAAGTTACTGGTGAATACTAAACTACTCAGATGCAGTACTGGTCATGCCCAAGGTTACAATTTAGCTCATTCAAGCATATCCTATGCTAATGAATTTAGGGGGGGAAAAAAACAGTGACCTAGGTCAAAACTTTAGAGTTCTAATAACAACCAAATGAGTGGGGCTACAGAGCACTTTAGCAAAATCGTTCTGGTTTATTGGCTTTTAATAGTTCTATAAGACTGATCAAGATAGAACAAGACAAATACTCCCACTTCACAATCAGGAACTCATTCAAGGACTTAATGGAAAAGTTCTTAGGGCACACACAAGCACACACACCTAGGCATGAATGCACCCTCAGAGCTAGTTTACAACATTGGAGAAAGAGCATACTTTATCTGGTGTAGAATTATCCCCTTCCCCAGCCTTCTATTCTAAGCCTGATAAAGTGTGATCTTTCTCCAGTGTTGTAATACTGCTCTGAGAACTGTTTTCAATTACTTTTTTACTTATTTGCTGTAGGGTTCCACCAGCCTCCAACCCAATAGCCTTTAAAACATTTTGTAGTCACAAAGACGATATTAATACAGTGGAGTATTCTATAACCAGTTTAGTAGGAGGGTTCAAGATAGGAAAGAAAAGAGTGATGGGGGGGGGGTGCTCCCAATTTACACCCACTACATACCAGATAATCCATGTACTGGTGAATAGAGATGGTCTGCTCTTGCTAGGCAGTCTCAAGGAGCTCTCTGCTCCTCTCGGATGATTTTAGGTGAGGTCTGCTGCTATTCAGGAAGAGTCTTGGTTGGAAGGCTGCTGCTACTAACGAGTCTCTGACGTTCTCTGCAGGCAAGTCTTTGGGGTACGGAAGGGAGGGAACAAGCCTCTACGACGCGTATAAGGAAGGTCTCAGATATTCCTGCTAGGAAGACCCCAGAAGAGCGGCTGGAAGGTGCAGGGGCGTGGTGCAGTGATCGCTGATACTGCTGCTGAGCAGACAGTCCCCAGGATGCAGGGTGAGGTGAGGTCTCTGAGGCTGGCAGGAAAGTCCAGGGGAGAGGGAAAGGGGGACGGCGGGGGAGGGGGGGGACTCTGCTACTGCCGCGGAGGGGCTCCGTTCCCGGCAGGATGATCCCAATAGGGTGGGGTAGGGTCTCAGGCAGGAAGGTTCCCCCAGCACCGCCTCCCTGGGCAGGGGGCGGGAATCTGGGGCTGTCACTGCGGCTGGCCCCGCCCCCACAGCACTGGGCTGGCGAGGCTCACCAGGCTAGCCAGCCCAGCCCCCGTGGAGCCCGCAGCGCCCGATGTTTCAGGAACAGGGGAGCGCTCTCCCCGCAACGTCACTGTCAGCTGATCACACACGTGGGACGACGAGCGGAGACTCTTAAAGGCGCACACGCGCACGCTTCTGGCGCGGGGGCGTGGTCCCGGGTGCGGGGCATGCACCGCGGGGCGCTCGCCGCCAGCCCGGCGCGCTCTGCTTGGGACTCAGGCCGGGCGGGATGCGGACTCCTCCCGGGGGAGGTGGCCCAGCGAGTATTCGCTGCTGCCAGGGAGTGAAGCCCGCCCCGACGGGGCTGCCCCCTGGGGCTGCAGCATTTCCCGCAGCTGGGCGCACGTGCGCAGGTCCCAGCCTCCCCTACAGCTGCCTGTCCCAGGCTGCCGGGCGTTCTGGTCCCGTTGCCAGCAGCACCCTCAGAGTGCAGGGAGTCCGGCCAGCAAGAGGTTGGCTCACACCTTCCTGCCCCCACCCCCACCCCAAGGGCTCCAGCATGTTTTTTCGGAACATGCTGCTATTGTGGTCTTTCAAAAGAAAATCGAAAGAACAGAGGGGTTTTTCTGCCAGGCTATGTCTAGACTGCAAGCCTCTTTCGAAAGAGAGCGTCTAGACTGCATGCGGAATTTCGAAAAAGCAAGCCGCTTTTTCGAAAGAAAGCACCCAGTGAGTCTGGATGCTCTCTTTCTAAAAAGCCTGTTTGCTTTCAAGAACGCCTTCTTTCAAAAGAGCACTTTCGAAAGAAGGCGTTCTTCCTCGTGGAATTAGGTTTACCACCGTCGAAAGAAAAGCCGCGTTCTTTCGATTTAATTCGAAAGAACGCGGCTGCAGTCTAGACGCAGGTGAAGTTTTTTCGAAAAAAGGCTACTTTTTTCAAAAAACCCTTGAGTCTGGACACAGCCCCATTGTTACACCTCATCCTATGAGGAAGAAGCCTTTTCTGAAAGTGCTTTTTTCAGAAAAAGGACTGTGTGGACACCAAGGCTGTGTCCAGACTCAGGGTTTTTTCGAAAAAAACCTTCACCTGTGTCTAGATTGCAGCCGCGTTTTCGAAATTAAATCGAAAGAATGTGGCTTTTCTTTCAACGGCGGTAAACCTAATTCCACGAGGAAGAACGCCTTCTTTCGAAAGTGCTCTTTTGAAAGAAGGCGTTCTTGAAAGCAAACAGGCTTTTTAGAAAGAGAGCATCCAGACTCACTGGGTGCTTTCTTTCGAAAAAGCCTCTTTCAAAAGAGCACTTTCGAAAGAAGGCGTTCTTGAAAGCAAACAGGCTTTTTAGAAAGAGAGCATCCAGACTCACTGGGTGCTTTCTTTCGAAAAAGCCTCTTTCAAAAGAGGCTTGCAGTCTAGACATAGCCCAAAGAAGGAGTTTTTTTCAAAAGAGGAAAAAGCATAGATGCCCTGGTGGCCATTCCGTCCATAGTAATCACAGCTTAAATGTGATATAGCAGTGGTCCCCAACCTTTCCAGGTTGTCGGGTGCCAGGGGGCGTGGCTGTTCGCCCGCCGGGAGCCAGGGGGCGGGGACACTTGCGGCCCGGG